GCTGCCTGAGCTTGAGTGGAGGCCGGTAAAAAGTTGATGGGATGTTCTGTCAGCCATTGCGAGTCTACGCCGCTGTCTTCCGACGCCGCTACGTACAAATCTCCTGTGGTGCCGTCCTCAGATGGCTTGACGAAGAGTCCATGGACGGGAGTCAATTGTTTGGGAACGATAAAATTAGCTGCGTCAGATTTTGTAGAATAAACGACTAGTAAAATAACACTTAGGACTTTCATATTGAGCGTTTTTTTTTTAAATTAAGTGGCGCTCGAATTATCTCTCACCCTCTTGCATTAGAGGATACCGAAATATTTAGTTTATTGGAATAATAATTTCACTAATATTGATAGTATTTAATGAAACATTCATTATTTATACCTTAAATCAAATGAGATAAGCAATGAAGATCTAATCTTGTTATTAAATCTATTTGATTTAAGTTACGGCACGTACTTTTAAGTTATGATCTATCAACACGTTAAATGATAACCCATGTTTAAGTTTTATCCGTATTATATTAAGTATGAGTTTATCCTTAAACTTATCTTTTGCAAAATATGGATACGCATATTCAGAAATGAAATTTTTAACAATTCGACCTTTAAAACAAAAAAAAAAAACTTTAATGTAGAATGCATTGCATGTAGTATTCGTTATAGTAATAATAAGTAACGTTTTCGTTTAGTTTACTCAACAAAGTTAGGTTTTTTCACAGAATTTTCTTTTTATTGTAGCTCTGCAATTGATTACAATATCCAAGTTACATTTGAAATGTACTTTGATATCGTATACGTTACGTTGCTTTCGATTAAATTTATATCGAATTATAGAACTTCTATGTGTTTACGTGAGAATGAGGAGTATTCCCTTTGTGGTTGGAAATGTCCACCGACTTGTGTGAATATGCACTTATTGTCATTACACGGGACCATTTGCTCGTTGACGTGGGAGTGCAGGGTCGGCTGTAGATGTTCTGCGGGATACATCAGGGATGAGTACAGTAAGAAATGTATTCTGGTACACCAATGTCCAGGTCAGTGGTAAGAAAATATCAAGATTGGACCTTATAACAATTACTAGTAAACTATTGAAGTAGTTTACCAAAATTTTAAATAACCTGAAATCTTGTAACGGACGTTAGTAATTTTAATCTAAAATCAAAGGGAAAGGATAAGACGAATATAACTTTTTTGTACAATTCTTTCTGCTCAATTAGCCGGCTTCGCACGAATGGGCCGGCTCGACCGGTGTAATACCACGACTACACAGAAAACAGGCATGAAGTGGAAACAATTCCGCGTTTCGTCTGATGAGTGTGGTGCCGGGGGCCTTATTTTAGTCCCTTTCCCTTTCCTCTATTTTCTTAAGAGGAAAGGATAGGAAGGAAAAGTGGATTTGACGGTGGAGGAGACGCGTAGGAAGGGGAAATGTCCTCCTTATGTGCGTCTTCTCTAAAAAAAATATTGAAAATTGTCTATGGACAGGGTTCCCTTGCTACATCGTATAAAATATTACAGACATCATAAATTAGTAAAACCCAAGGAAGTTCTGCGAAAAAAAAACTATTTAAAGAGTTGAAAAATTTCTATAGAGATTATTAAAACTTATATAATCTAATCTAAGTTATAAAATTAAATAACACGATAACACAAATGAATGATGCTAAAACGTGCATAGGAAATGTTTTAAATGAGGTCGGCGACGTGATGAGGCTTACACTCATTTCGTCGTGTAAGCAGTTTTATTGAATCTCGACACGTTTGTTACTAATACTTACTAAATGTTAAATTTATGTACAGTCAACATCAACAGTTATTATATTAACTGAACTTCTGTAATTGGATAATAAAAAAATATTACTTAAACATTTTTATAATAGTATATAAATGTAACATTCTTTTTATATTCTGGTTAGATATTTTAATATTTCTACAGTTGTAAGAAACCTCGATTCAAATATTGATACTGGTTGATAACAGTAGACAGTTTATTATTATTTTTAATTTAATTCATTCATCACGTATCACCAAAGCCATAAAGAGAGGGTATAAAAGGACAAATAGTTATATTATCTATAGCTAGTTGTATACAAATTACAGTATCAACTTTTCATGTTGAATGTACTGCAAGACGATGATTGATACAATTAAAATTAATTTATACGACGTGATGTTATGTATCAATTATTCTTTTCCGTATAATAATATTTTATTTATCAGCAAATACGTAAAAACATTTACTATCAGTCGAACTCAATAACCAACATCGAATTATTTTTGCTTTTACGCAGTTAAAACTACGGTATAATAATTTCTCATTCAATATGAGATTCCAACAGCAATCGGAAAACATTTTGTATTAATTAGAGGGCGAAAACTTGTATGATAATAAAAAAAAATTACCAAATCGTTTCTATTGAAAATAAATTTATTTATTGCATTCATACCTGCTTTACCTTCATGTCTTGTATGGTATATTTGTAAAGACCTAAGTCCTAACTTTAGGCGGTTCTCATTGAGGACTGTTATGTACCCAGAACAGACTGAATAAATATTTCTAAAGGAATGCATGGTACTGTGGGTTCTGGGTTCCACAATAAAAACAAAAATGTTTTCATCCTCTTTTTACACTTTGAAAAGACAAAGAGAACAATTTGTTGTAAAAAGTGTTTCGGTTTGGAATCGTGAGGTTAGAGGTGAGGCCATTGTGTTGTAACCTTTTAGTTAAATCGTACATCGTTTATAAGTAGGTAGCTATTGTGAAAATCTTGTAAGCGTAAAATACTGGGACGCGTTCTACTTATGCCAACGATGAATTTGCTAAGTAAGTAATACCGAAAATGTATTCGACATGAGCGAGGTATAAAACACCACGACGAATTAATTATATTGCATTTTATCTTAAAGATAATGAAGCTCTTGTGGACATTTTGTGTACTGAAGATGATCTGTTCTGCGGCGCCGATCGTGGAACATCCCGATCTACCTGAAGATGAATTTAGAGACAAACGTTCAAGCTTTAATATACCTTACGTGAGTCCGTGTGCTGCTTCTCCACCGATGGTGCCAAATTACATGAATTTGCCTCTTCAACATCATCTACGTCCGCAATACTATTACCCGAGATATCGTTCAATCGATCCAAGTGAGATGCATTTGTTAAACATGAATGCAATCCGAAACGCACAGAGTATACCGACAGGTATGGAAGCTATACCCGCTCCTAATAAACCTGACATTACTAGCTACCCACCACCATTGTCACAAATGCCAGCTGTGGGAATCTTTCCTTATGTAAATCCAGATTTAATGAATGTACCTCTACTCATCACGTGTACTCCATCAATAGCCCAAGGCCAAATGATGCAACCGCATGTACAACACAACAGTTATCGCTCCGGTGGCATCAGGGATACGGAATATGAGGATATATTTGAACGAGATAATGAAAATAAGCCGGATTATTTCACGAATCCTCAGAAACAAGAAGAAGTAGCTGTGAAACCCCAGTAAACCATAATAAAGACGTTGTGTGTAGTGTGATTAATTTGTATTTGCCTAATTATGTAGTTTGAGTTTTATAAATAAAATTATACGAGTAAAAAAGCATTTTGTTTATCAAGTTATATAGTTGGTGTCAAAAGGAGTCACTATACTAAACTTTCCTAAGGCAACTCCAGAAAAATCTTCTAAACATATATTTCACTCTATAACTGTCTATTTTTTATATTATAGTTACTTATTATTCTGTACATCTATTATAATAAATTCTTATTGATCGTGTATATATTTTAACACACTGCAGTTACCTTCAAAATTGCTTGGTAGACATTTTAACACGAGTCGTTAAGGAATTTCTTCGTAATGACGACCGTGAGCATTCACGTTACGTGCTGATGTTATAATTTTTAAACTTTCATATATTAAACATTTTATAATGAGTCGTTATAATTCGTTATAATGTTACAAATATAGTGAAAAGACAGCCAATATCAATAATGCCTAACCAATAATAAAGGATCAATTCAATAAAAAAAGTTTGGATAAAAATTTTGATGGGTAACATGGGGCACGCGAGACAATATTTTGGGCTTACTATAGAAAACAAAATATATTATGTACTACAAAAAGTGTGAAAAGGTATTAACTAAGCACTAACTTATTTGAGTAGCGAACTCAAGTGATCCGTTCGCTATATAATGTTCCTAATAATAACAAAAATAACATTAAAAACTCTGTTAGTATGGTCTGAAAACATTGTTATAACGCAATTTAGGTTCTATCTGGCCATCATTGGTAATGTCGTAAAATGAGTTTTGTACGTAACATTGAATAAAGTCACTTATGATCATGTTTATCCATTTTATTTTGTATTCCAGGCTTGAAATTAAAAACTTCATTTTCAAATAGATTATGTGACGTTTGTAAATGACCATTTTTAAAACTAAGCAAGACAAAATTATAGTAAGATATAGAAGCACAAATATCAGAGCGCTATAATAAAGCTTTTAGTGAGTCTTGTAATTAAATAATCGGTATAATTATTCAAATACGTCCATTTGTTTTACACTAAGTCACTACTACTGACTACTAATGTTATGTTGCTAAGGTCTCATTATGTATAGAATCCCACATAACTACCGTGTTCCTCTGGGCGCGGAGTATGCATAAAGCCATTTCCCTCTAAAAAGAAAAAGGTTGCTAAGGTCTAAATTGATTTTATCATTTCCTCTTTATATAATATTATTATAATATTGGGATAGATTACCTAGCGACGAATTAGTGTTAGCTTTACCTAAGTTTCGACAGAATAAAACTCGATTTACGTATTTCGGAAACGCATTTCATGAAGTTACCAAACTAAAAATACTTACAAACAAATGTAGCTAAAAAATCGGCCATTATAAGATTTCGCAATGAGCATGCAGTTGTACAGAAAAAACATTTTTTAGAACATTATCAGGGGAGATGTGTTTCTAAATTTATCTTAAGTTATCGGACATCACATTCCCTTTTTTTAGTTTTTCTCCCATATTGTGGTGGGTTAGCTTTCCTTACAAAACAGGGTTCACGGAAATAATCTATTGGAACGACTCGAATCCACGACCGTTGTATCCATAGTCGGTATTCTTGACTATCGAGCTTTTTATTGGTGTTAAGAATAAGCTGGGTACACTGGACTTTATTAATTATTTTATTATTAAGGTGAAACTCGTATATGGCTTTTACTCTTTTTATATTAAGTATATATTTTATTAATTAATTGATAATATAGTATAATGGTACAGTACAAAATACACTATTTATATTGTACTATATGATATTTTAAGATAATTCTTAAAAAAATAATTTGAACAGTTGTTCAAATTATACTTAGTTAAGTATGTAATGTTTTGCGATGCGGAAAGTGTGACGTGCGCCGTTTGTAAAAAGGGCACGTAGCGTTTGATAGATTCGTTTGTATAAATTGAGATCACAATTCCATCTCACCATCAATTGCGCCATCGATCACAATGAAGACGCTAGTAGTATTCTTAACATTGTGGTACACGTGCTTCTCGAAACCCTCTACGCTACAAGACCAATTGCACCCAATTGAAGCAGTCGAAACGCAAACAGAATTTATTGGAAGAGCTCAACTTCAAGATCAGGAGTCGACCCTTGACACCCACGATGAACATTCAGGTACCCAATTTCATCAAAGTTTAAGTGATTCATCGTTACAAGAAAGAAGCATCATCGCATCTCAACGCCCTTTATTAATTAAAAAAGGTTACCACCTCTATCGAAGCGCTGACGAGCAACAAATGCTAACTGACTCTAAACAAAAATGCAACAAACAAGTTAAAGTTAATATTTGCGAAGAAGACAGCGAGACAAATTCTAACCAAATGAGGTTTGACCCTACATTTTTTAGGTCTCGTGAAAATATGACTAAAAAGGAAATGAAGAAAACATTAAAAATGGTTAAAGAAGTGGTTGAACATATGCAAAAAGATTTGCAAACATTGGAAGATACATCGACGGATTTGTTAACTGAAGAGCAGCTGCAGAGTGGACAAACAAAGACACATATGCACGATGATTTTGTAACACTTCATACAGTTTTAGATGATTTAGTCAAACACATTGAAGATAGTTCAAAATCGACAAATACGGACAAAAAGGATCCTAAAAACAAGAGCTATGAAGATACTGAAGAAAGCCGAATGATGCAATGGAAGGAAGAAATGAAAAGAATACAAGAAGATTCAGGAAGAAACATCGAGGATAGATTTGTAAAAGATAATGAAGCGAGCGATAGAAAACTTCTACAAAGTAATTCACATAACACCATGATGGAAAATGTAGACAAAATGTCACCAAATATACAAAGTATGGAATCACTGTCAAGAAATAATGAAGATACAGAAATGTCTATTACACAAGACATCAATAGAAAGGGTAGTTTACAAAGTGACAGCTTAAGATTGGTAGAAGTTCCTATACCTAAAGCAAGTGAGGAAGAAATGTCTTCAAAGTCAACTGACATTGATCACCATACTTTACAAAGCAGCAACGTTAAAACCACTCATGTAACGACTAAATTAGCAGGACATGACGAAAAGATGTTGGGAGCGAATACTATTGCGGCCTTACAGGATCACATGCAGGATAAACGTACAATCACACATATGGTAAAAAGAAAATCGGATGAAATGGAACATACTCTGAACCCAGATCATGTAGATGAGCATCTAAGTCATTCAAATCATATGGCTCATATGAATGTCGAAGAATTTAAGTCACAGGATGATGGTCAAGCTTCGGATTCTTCAATGAATGACCATATTAACGCACAAACACATCATACTCATTTAGCAAAACAATCCAGTACTGAAATGGACGCAGACACACTTCAGCAAGTAAAATCATCAACTAATTCGGATACATCATTTGACTCTCATTCTTCTATCGCCATGCCACCACGTGAAGCTACACAAGAAATTCAGAGTGAACCAAATAAGCTCCATTCAACGATGAACAGCGACACTTCTGGAATTTCGCACCAATTAGGTGAGCCAGTGAGGACACGCCTAGCAATGGATGAAAACAACCAGGCGCTGAGAACAATGAGTTCTAACGAAGTACATACTCAACACGAGACTTCACAAAGTTTAATTAACGATAATTCCCAGAGTGCAACTATAAGAAAAGCTAATAATGACGTAGGAAAGATGGATGAAACCATGCAGCATCATTTTAATGGGCAAGATAATACAAGATGGGCACAAGAAAGAGGCATGGACACTTCAATGTCGGATACGCTTAAGATGGACAATAAAATGCAGCAAGGGAAGTCTGGCATTCATTCACAAGAAAGCATGACAAAAAGTGAGCATACAACAGGTCATCACCATCACACGACACATCAAGGAGAACATCTGCATAGACTACATGAGCAATCGCAACATCAACATTCAGAGAGGATGCCGTTTGATGATCATTTCAGGCCCTCCATGGCTACCTCACACCCTAATTCTCGATTAAGAAACGAAGAAATCCATTCCGCACACCACAACAGTCAGCTGTCTAATGGACGTTTTGCCCACGATCATTCCATGATGCCAGCAATGAGAGCCAACATGGGGTTCAGCGACAGCACCAGTATGAGTATGCAGTCACAGCACCAATTAAATATTCCACACCACCACTTCTCAACTGGTCCACATGGTCAAGCAATGTTCCACAATGAGCAAATGAGTGAGAGTGACAGCATGGTGCAAGCTAGCGAGCGTGTTGGTATGAGAGAAGCGATGCTGAGATCGGCTGGAGAGTATCCTCAGTACTACAACACTCAAGGAAATAACAAGGGATCAGGATATCAGGAGCAGCACAATATGCAACCGGTATCCAGCAGCGCATCCGGTGCTGTGGGCTTGTTCCCCAATGCTAACGTAGGAGGTTGTGGCATACCTTTACTTCTAAGCTGTTCCCCTAACGTAGTCTCTGGTACGTTAGCTAAAGGACAACCTACTTATACCGCGCCTTCGTACAGATCTATGGATGCCTACAGATACCACAAAAAGCGGGAAACAAAGAACTCTAATTCCAAGCGTGAAGTCAAAACGATGTCTAAGATAATGTCTAAAAGCAAAACTGAAACTGCTAATGTGATAAACTAAGTCATTTTTGTATGAAATACGATAACGAATTATGCTCGACTGTTTACACATTTATGTTGTATGTAATTTATTGTATAAAATGATTCTAAAACTGACATTAAATTTTTTATAACATTCTAAATGCTTCTTTTATAACAACCTTGTCCTCTATTTATTCTCAACTTCATTTAGCAATTACGGTTGGTATTGCTACCAATATTTTGTATAAATTATAGTTTCATACTAAAGTTATGTTATTGTACCTAAAGTTTATATTTTCTCTTTATGAAAATTATAATTGTAAGTGTAACATTTACCGGCTAACGTAAGAACATGTCGACTTAAAAATGCTAACAAATGAAATACGAAACTTTTGCTGAACACAATTTTATATTCACAATGTAACATTATAAACTCACTGTGGCATTGAATAGGACGCAAATAATTAAATCATGAAGAACAGTATTAAAATACTATTATTGATAATAATACAAAGCGGTGTTTTAAAATGTTTACCAATAAATGAAGATGAACCTCACACCGAGATTCTCCAATCTTTGCCTGCCGCATCTGAAGAAGACCAACAAAAGCCGTGTCCTGAAGTTTCTAATAACCTAAACAGTGAGGAACAAGGTAATACGAAACGAGGCATGTTTAAAATACCTGCAAGGATGTACATAAACAATCTACAATACGCCAACGAATATATGATGACTATGCCGCAATATGCAAAGGACTATTTAGGGGCATACAAAACAAACATGTATCAAAATACGTATTTAAGGTTACCAACACTGGATACACTTCCTGCAGTCTACGTAACTCGACCTCGGATGGGAAATTATTATGAAAATAGACAATATTATAATCCTGAGTTACTTAAACAAAATACTGTATTCGTTCCGATACATCTAAGCCCTGAAAGGTCGACATCTGAAGAGGAATTTTGGGCGCATCTATCCCAAGATTCTGTAATGAAGAATATTATACCTACAATGGAAGTACCGTTGCAACGTGATCCGTATGGACAATATGAACAGTTAGTTCGTTCATATCCACTAAATGCTCGAGAATTGATGAATAATGATGGCGTGATAGGTTATTACCCAGAAAGCGAGTTACGCGCTTATGACCATCAATTGTTATACAGATACAAACCTAAAGTTACTTCCGAAAGAGACATTTCTGAGGATTATCCTCATACGGAAATCCATACTGAATAACGTTAAACGAGCGTTTAACTTATTTATTAAATATCTTTTACTTTACTTTGTATGTGACAATCGCAATTGTTTTTAAATAAAACGGTTAAAAATGTGTTGATGTTTTATTGAACTACTAGCTTTCGCCCGCGGCTCCGTCCGCATGGAATTAAAAAAAAAAAACAAAAGTGAGTAGCCTATGTGTTCTTCCAGACTATCCTCTATATCTATACCAAATTTCATCGAAATTCCTTCAGCCGTTTAGGCTACAAACTCTAACAAACATCCATCCATCCATCTAAACTTTCGCATTTATAATATTAGTATGAAGTATGATTTAAATAAATAAATTACGCATGGTAGTTATACTTTTTTATTTATTATGAATTAAAAGGATGTTTATGGGAGCGTCTCTATGACCCCAAGAAAATACGTCTCGTGCTTGCAAAAAAATCACCAAAACGAGAAGATGTCATGTTGCTGTCTTCCCGGGATATATTTTTGACCCCTTGCAGCTTCAATCTTGAGCGATTGTAAAAAATTAGATGTCATTTGATTAGTATTCATTTATGTTATTAAGGGTTAAACGTCACGTGTTTTATTTCTACTTAATTAACTATTTTGTTCCAGACAAGGCGACGTGTCCGCCGGGTGAGGTGATGGGCACCAACCTGCAATGCATCACCCGTCGTCGGACCACCATCACGAATGATTCACTTTGGCAAAATTACGATCGTTAATGTTACGAATACTTTTGTAAGAAAAGAAGTAAATGAACCAGTGCACAGTTTTTTGTTTTAATAATTTCTTTCTTAGTAACACTTCTGCAACAAAGTTTGTAAAAACGATTTGCCTATGTGATTCATTTGGACTTTGACAAAATCGACATTCCCTGTCAATCTTTCAGGTTTATCTTTTATTTTTGTTATTAATAGCTCTTCAACGATGGCGTTTGAAAGAAATAGTAAATTTTTCCAGTAACGTTATCATATGATAAGATTAAACGATGAAATTTTGATAAACATTTTAAAATGAATTGTACTTAGCTGTAATATCGACAAAGGTTTGTTTGTGTTACATAAAACGCAAGCGCACGTGCGATTGCGAAATAATTCGCATGTGGCGTGATTTCTGGGAAATGCTCGAAGTATTTGACGAGGTTACTAGAAATTTATTTATTTTATTTTATATAAGATTATATTTTTTTGAGGCAATTATCTATTAAAACTATAACATTAACAAAGTGCTCAAAAATAAGAGTAATCAAAAAATATTTTACGTTAATTTAAAGCAAATCATCTAAATAAGATACTATGTTATTTTCCTCAATAATTTTCTTCTCAATTAACTGGAATTGTGTTAAAAACAAAACGGTGACAACTCGATTTTGTTTACAGCTTTGTTTTCCATTCTACTTTCCTACATGATTACTATCAAAACAATTCCCACAATAACAACTCCACTATAAAGACTAGATAAGTCTTGTTACAGATATTCCTAGATTAAAAACAGTTCTGAAAACGAAGATAATATAAATTATGTTTTTATGATAATGAAAATTTCAATAGACTGTTAAGAATTTTCAAATTAGATAATTAGTTAAGAGAAATACATGGTTCGAACTTAGACCGATTCTAATGCAAAAAAAGCTACGTGGGGGGTGGTAACACTAAAGCGCACTAAATTTAGTTAAATCCTATAATAAGAATAAAATCTTTATCCTAAATCATTGTTAACTAATTCTAAACTCTATATAAGAAGTGGACTTCCTGTCACATTCAGAGCGCGTGCACACCTTTTACTAAACTATCGCATAACTGTTTAGTCGCGCTTTGATTCCTGAGCTTATATGGAGGTGCGCACATTACTTTTTTAGTTGTGCAACTAAACTGTTGAATGGGCGAAACAATCGACAATCGCACAACTGTTGTACGATGGTTTATTCAAAGGTGTGCGCACGCTATTAAGGTTTTTTTTCCATGAAAGGCGTACAATGTTGGCCACAAACCGAAGAACCATCCAGGTACTTTACCACATTACGTCAATATGAGATGACGTAGATGGGTTGGTCTAATGTCGTCACACGATCAAACAGTAAGCAGTCTGCCTGGTGCCTGCCACGTAGCATCTGTGAAAATAAACAGTATTGTTTATTTTAATAGGGTTGGCACCTTATTAAAAATGTTTCTTTATCGATGTCAAGATTTCTATAACATAAACATAACTTAAAGTTTCTATAACATATTCACAATGCTAATAAAATATTATAGAAATCAAATTTTGATTTACTTAACTAAATTTAAGAAATTAAGCTAATAATGAAACACGAAACTCGAGTCCCTAAGACGAATAGGAGACGATGGCGTGTCGTTTAATAATAAATCATCATCATCGTCTTCCTCTTTACTCTACTTCCGTAGGATCCAAACCACCACTATCTTGCCGTGGGTGTCGTCATCGCGTAGAACACCACCATTTTGACAAATTAATAATAAATGATAGTTGGTAAATGATGATCACTGGTTAAAATTAACGTAACATTATAGAATAATTACGAACCAAAACAACTAGTTCATAAGATTAACCTAAATGTTAATTTACAATAACAGGGCAATTCCAATAATGGTGGCAGCCCGTAGTCCAATGACGTAAAAGTTTCAAAGATAACGAATATCGCATCATTTAAAAGACGATCGGCTGATCCTTATTTGGCATACACATTGCAACTCCTCGCTAGTAAGTTTGTGTTCCCCTATCCACAAAACAATGAATCGATTACTAACGTTAACGATTGTTGCTCTACTCGGAATGTTCGGAGATGCAAGACATATACACCCGTCGGAAAATAGAGATGATATGGACCTAACTGTTTTAAAATCTAGAGTGATTGAAAGAGTACCGAATGTAAGTATGTTTTTTAATAAATACAAAGATAGAAAGATAATTTTTTTCTTGGTAGAGTGTGATTTTTTTTAGGAACCAACTAGAAGTTTTTGAGAAATAAGAATAGACATAATTGAATTATTTGTTTTATTGTGTTAGCTTTCGCCCGCGACTCCGTTCGCGTGGAAGTAAAAAAACAAAAGTGAGTAGACTATGTGTTCTTCCAGACTATCCTCTACGTCTATGCCAAATTTTATCGAGATCAGTTTAGCCGTTTAGGCTACAAACTCTAACAAACATCCATCCATCCATCTAACCTTTCGCATTTATAGGAAGTATGAATGATTGTAAACATATGCTCATATCTACACTTGTTTATCAGATTTGATTTACTTATCGAATTAAATAATACATGACATAATGTGCTTTATTTTCTGATGTCTTGTGATTTGATATTTAAAAGGAGATTTATTTGTATATATTTGTAATTTTATTATACATTTTAGATTAGATTTGTAACATACTGTGTTATTTACGTTGTTAAATAACACAGTTAAATAACGTTGGCGCCCCCTTGAATATTTTAAATTTTCCGTTCAAAGTTTTTCATCAATAATTAACGTAAAACGATATTTTCCAGGACGTCGTCCCCAATTATCAATCCAGTGGATTCGTGCCAATGAACAATATCATATTCTTCAAAGTATTTCCACCTTGCGAGGAAGGTTTCAGGCGGGATATATTAGGCGTGTGCAGAGAAGTCTGGGACTAAATCAAATCGAATATTCATAAATACAGCAAAAATGTGATATTAAAATAAGTATTAGATTTAATGATTTCAAAATGTATTTTTTCTATTGTAATTTTGTAAAGAAAAATAAAAAAGGTCTCGAAATAAAAAAAGCTTGTATAGACTCACAATAATTTATTTATCTTTTGTAAAGCTGTGATTAAATGTAAAACAGCACTTATATTAATTTTATTTTCCATATAGTTTCACTCTAGGAGTAGTAAGATCTTTCTATTCCAAGCTTGAGCATACAATGTCTTTACAAAATCTATATAGTTAACAGTAAAATTCCACCGACATGATACTTGTGTTATCGTCATCTTTTTCATTCCCTTTAAAACAATACGAGACGACGATAGTCACCCAAGTGTCACGTCAGTGAAGTTTCACCGTAAACAATTTGTTGATACAATATCTCTACATATTATGCTCTCCTGGTACTTCTTGTGATGGAGATTCGTCACATTAAGGAAGCTGGTTGTAGCCAACTTATAATGGAATTTCGTCACATTAGCGAAGCTGGTGGTAAAGTAACAGCTCCGTGGCCAGAGAGTGGCGACGGCAGCGCTGCCACTCCTCGGATCCAAGCACCGCGCTCGCAACAAAATGATTCCACGTTGCTCAGAGCCCGCATATATATCGTTGTTACACCACCTGTGAAGATAATACCCGCAGGTTACTTAAGTACAATGCATTCAAATTGCAATATTGTTATTCGCATTTATGAAAAGGACTAGCTTTCGCCCGCGACTCCGTCCGCGTGGAATTAAAAAAACAAAAGTGAGTAGCCTATGTGTTCCAGACTGTCCTTTACATCTATACCTAATTTCATCGAAATCCGTTCAGCTGTTTAGGCTACAAACTTTAACAAACATCCATCCATCCATCTAAACTTTCGCATTTATAATATTATTATGAAAAGGATTAATAAATTATACACAGAAATAACTTCAATCGCGAAGAAAACGGTATGTCCCCCCCAACCCAGTCTAGTAAAGTTATAGTGTAGATTACGTATGCGAGTTTGTCTATCCTTGCAGATAGTTCTAAAATAGCACAATAATCTATTAGTTAATAAGTTTAGTGGATAAAATACACTAGTTAATTATAGATAGTTACATATACACGTACCTATAATAATGAGCTGTGTTCCTAGGTATGCGAGCGCATGTCCGTGTCGGGGTATAGACATTTCGGTTTCCTGTTTCCAAGTCCGGTCCTTCCAGTCCCAGATGTCTATGGCGCCAACACTACTCGGAGTTTTGTCCTACAAATTAATGTTCTATGTTAATTGCACATACAAGGTTAGGTCAAGAGAACTTAATTCAGTTATAAAATTTCAGTCCCATGCAACTTTTCCGCTGTTTTCTTACATTTTATCTTTAGCAAATGTTAATAAACTTTGTAACTTTTTTTCTTAAGTATGTATTTACTCAAAGTTACAAACACTATATACAATCTAACTAATGGTATAAATGCGAAAGTTTAGATGGATGGATGTTTGTTTGAGTTTGTAGCCTAAACGGCTAAACGAATTACGATGAAATTTGGCATAGTTGTAGAGGATAGTCTGGAAGAACACCTAGGCTACTTACTTTTGCTTTTTTTAGTTCTACGCGGACGGAGTCGCGGGCGAAAGCTAGCATTTCATATTTGTTTTGTATGTCAAATACCGACACCTATATTTAAGCGGAAGTTATAGATAGTTCATATGAAACGTCAATAGTTGAGCAATATTTACATTGGGATTACGTCATCGACCATCCTTAAATATGCTAATATTGGGACACAAACTTATCTGGTCTGGTGGGCAAAAGTAAACCCCCTAAATTATACATCCGGTTGTAAAATTGTTATTGCGATTATTACATCTATTAAATTTTAATAGTAAAAATCACACAAATAAATGGATTGAACATTTGACGTATGACGTACCTTTTCCGTAATCTTCCCCGCTCCACCTATTATATACAATTTGTCATTCATAGCGAAAAGCGTAGCAAAACATCTCGGAAACCGAAGACTATAAATTTCTGTCCATCTGAAAATAACAATTAACAAATACTTACTAACATAAATCATAAACTTCCCCGCTCACTGACGTCACTGACATTCGTTTGTTTCGTTAGAAAATTCTTAGTAAATCTCACAAATGTCACTTGACCTCAAATTACACACAGATTGCTATTGCGTCATTGCGGACTTTGTACACGACAGAATGTTAAAAACAAATACGATTTAACAGAAATTATACTTTCATTTTAAGAAATAGAGTAGTAAATAACTTATTTCTATAGCTAAACAGATAATGAAATGGTATCATGACAATCAAGTTATCCCTAACGTGTTTATATTTAGGTTCTCTGTCTGCTCCTAGAACACAATTAAGGTTATGCTAACATTTTTTTACTCTCTGATTTCAAACAGGTGATTTAGGGACTGTCCCATCAAATTGAAAATTGTGTAAGAACAATCCAACGTGTAAAATGTGATGGAAGTATCTGATTGTGTTACCTTAACTGGACAGTGACGTCATTTTTAAGCTATCTGAGCCTCTATAAGTCAGTGATGGGACAGGCTCTTAATCTTATGAAAATTTGGAAGTTATAAATTTTCCAAATTACAAAGTAAGCGTACTCATTTGTTTTGGAGTTATAGCACTCGACGACCTTGCATACGGGGTTTTTCTTCTCGCCGGTCATACCACCGGCCACCCAGATGTACTCGCGGTACTTGACCGCGGCCATGGCCATGCGCGCCACGCCCATCGACCGCACCTCGCTCCACGACCCCGTCTTAGGGTCGAACCTCTCCACCGACCGCAGCACTCTAGCAGAAAACAATGTTAGCCATCATTTTAAAAGTAACTTCAGTAATAGGTCATCAATTTAAATATTAAAATTGCTATCATAATAAGAAAATATACATAGATTTAATCTTGTTTCATTCACCTGCCTTTCTTGTCCTGTCCACCGATGGCGTATAGAGCCATGCGATGTACCACGAGACCGAAGTTCTTCCTTGGTATGGCGAGACCAGACTCGCTGTACCAGGACCGCGTCACCGGCTCGTAGCTCCACACCGTCGAGACCACTACAGACTTGCCACGGGTGTCGTCATCACGTGGGTCAGCACCACCTTAACAAGTTTAATATAATTCTTATTGCTTTACGAAATAGTGTTTAAATAATTGCAGCGTGTTATACCATACATACATACATATAGTAACGCACCATAGTATTATTAGAAATAAGAAATTACCAACAAGATAGACTCTTCCTCTTAGAAAGGCCACAGAATGATGATGCCTC